GAAGATAGGAGCTTGTCTGATTTTTAAAACAACCTTAAAAAAGTGAAAACTGCAAAAAAAAAAAAAAGATGAAAACTGAGACTTGTAAAAAAAAAGCACATGGAGTGAAAATAATTATTTTATTATGTAAAACACAGGACTGAAAGAGAATTTTAATATTTTCTGTGTGTGAGAAAAATTTATATTTAGAATTTGCCAGCTGGACACAGTTTAGGTAATTCCAAATTTGTTGGCAACATCCAAAACACATTGTCAGGAACAAGTCAAACAAGGGCCTTCTTTTCTCCATCAGGCCTAATCAAAGTGTTGACCTTAGCCACATCAATGTCACAGAGCTTCTTTACAGCTTGTTTAATTTGGTGTCTGTTGACCTTGACATCCACAATGAATACAAGTGTGTTGTTATTGTCTATCTTCTTCATGGCTGACTCAGTGGTCAGGGGATATTTGATGATGACACGGTGGTCCAGCTTGTTTCTCCTGGGAGTGCTCATCTGGGGGTATTTGGGCTGATTTTGGAGTCTCGGCATCTTAGGTTGGGTCATGTGTGGATCTTCTCTTTATGTTTGGCTATGGAATCACTTCCGGACTGCCTTCTTGGCAATTGATGCCTTTGCTTTGGCTTGGGTTTTGGGAGGAGCAGGGGTTTCCTTCTTTGCTTTCAGTGCCATCTTTGTAGAAAGCAGAATTTTAATATTTTAAATTGATGTTAAATAAATGTATCACATTAATATGAATTAAAGGAATAAAAATACAAGTGGTGTTCTGAATTTGTTAATTTAGAAACTTTTTACTAATATTTTTAATAGGAAAAAATAGCTAAACAAGATATTACTATGGAAACAACTAAATCCAGAGGTCTTAATATGCTTATATTTAGAAAGTTTTAATTCACCTACTAACTTGTTTAAAATGTAAATAATATTTCATACCCCCTTTGGTTAATTTCCACAAACCTTAAAATGTACCAAAGAACTATTCAGGAAATGTCTCCTTCTCCCAACAGAAGTTACGACACCATGAAACATAACACCTACCTGGTGTGATAAACATATTAATGGCGGTCCAGTCACTCCAGACTCCTGGGCCACGCAGTCTCTTAGCCCGAAGCTGGATCTCATATACGGTGCTAGGACGCACATTTTCTACTTCCAAGAATGTAGATACGACCGTCTCAGTAATCTGATAAATGTCAAATGTTAAGTGTTCATTTTAAACCATCAGAACACCAAGTTAATGTTAACTATTATAGACTTGAACATTTATTCTCAAGATATGAATTTTGTATCTTGAATTGATAACAAATACATATATTTCTAATTTTTCTATAAATGGAAGAATCACTAATCCCATTTGGGAGTACTTGTTTCTTTGTTATGTTATTGAGGTTATCAATATCATGTGTTCATTAATAAGCCAAGTTAAAAAAGGATCAGATTAAGCATAGAGAAGAAAGTAGAGATGGGGAAGACGGATGTCAGGCTACATTAAGACCACCAATGAACCTAATTGTAGACACCGAAAAGAAACAAAGAACATCCACCAGTCAACAGAGGGTCAAAGCTTTTCTCTAAAGTGCATGTCCTGAATTTGAACCTGTAGTCGCAAATTATTGTCTCATGGTGAGTATAATAATTTCTGTTTGCTAAAGTTATTTATTGTTGCTAGGTGCCATCAGTCAACTTCAAGTCATAGTGATCCTGTGAACAAGAGATTTAAACCTTGTCCTACCTTGTATCACTCTCATAATCTCTGACATGCTCCAGCCCATTGTTACAATCATTGTGTCATCTTCTCTTTATCTGACCCGTCACCTTTCCCATCATGTTCACTTTTTCCAAGGACAGACCCTCCTGACAACATGCCTAAAGTGTGTGAGGTGAAGTTTCCCCATCCTTGCCTCTAGGGAGCCCCTAGTCGCACTTCCTCTTTGTGGGCACAGCTACACTCTTATGGTACTTTTCTTTTACAGCAGCACTAGATAATTAGGATAGGATTCTTTATCAACATTCAACATAAGCAATTCTCAATAAATTTAAAGGGATTAGAATAGTAGAGTGTAGTGGAATTACTCCAAAGTGAAATTAAACTGACACCAATAAAAAATATTTGCAAATTTATCAATTAAATAGCTCATATTCCCAAGTAACAAAGTCACAATGACAATTAAAATGAAAAAATTTTAACTGAATGTTAAGTTTTGCATGGTCTTTCAGTATTTGAGGGTTGCAACTATTGTCAGTGGGAAGCTTCCAGGTCCTGTCATAATGTGTAATACAGCATGAAAAAATGTTCAGAAGTGGAAAGAGATTTAACTATGTATATTCCTACATAGATTCAAACCATGTGCCTTTGGATTGGCAATATAACACCTTACCATTAAGCCAGAGATTCATAGAGGAGAGTGCAAATAATGATAAATAGAACCTAGGGGTAAGCTACTGTGCAGGAATCAAAATAGTATTTTAAAGAGAAGAAATAGAGCCTTCATAAAATTCTTATACCTTTCATAAAATAATGACTAGCAAATAATTAGTAAATAAATAAATTTCATTTTCTGCCAAAGCGCTCAAAAGTTATTTGTTAATGTCTTTCCTACACTGTTAGGATCATAGACTAAAAATGTTGCATTCACAGCCAGAAAAAAAATCTATTTAGCTATTTTGAGCATTGTAATGTTCACTTGGCATTAATGATGTGTGAGGGGAGAGCAGCTCTGGCTGCAACGTTTAAAGTTATGCATCAGTGTGGCTGGGCCATGACTCAGTGGTTTCATACTTAGCAGTGGAGTCAAGTTGGCTATTATAAGGACATCCATTGGCAGGATACATTTGACATAATTTGGCACTTGTATAATGATGGAGTCATCCTTCATTTTGTGACCTAGTGGAGTTAGTTTCTATTTTCACATAATGTCCAGAGTCACATAACAACCTGGTCCATGGAACATAATGATGCTGCTAAGTGAAGAGTTGTTTTTATGTGCTATCAAGTCGCCTGCGACTCATAGCAACCCTATGCACAACAGCTCTGAACCCTGCTCTACCATGAGCTAACCTTAATGTCTCCGGCACACCTACCTCTACTACCCCAGTCATGGAGTCAATCCATCTCAGGGAAGAGTGGCTGTGTATAATAATAAATGTATATAATTATAACTAAATATATAATGTGTGTGTTTACTTTTTATGTTCTTAACTATTAAAAAAGTAAAAATGTATCTGTTAATTTTGAGACGTTTTCTGAAGTTCAAAATTACATCTGAAATATCAACTATGAGTTACTTTCAAGTCGGACATATGTTAATTTGTTATTTTTTTAGAAGCATATCAAAGAGAAAGCAACTCAGTAGTCAAAACCATTGTTTTTGAAGCTTTACACTACACTTTTTTGCACATGCTTCTAAAGCTTCAACAAAGGAATGTTGTTATTTACCATAGAGTCAGAACCAACCCATAGCTGACCTTCTGATGGGCTTGCAGAGGCAGTTAATCTCACAGAAGGAATTGTTGTTGTTGATTGCTTTGAGTTGAGCACAACTCATATTTACCCTATGAACAAAAGGCTTGACGCTCCTCTACAACTATTCATATTTATTGAAGTTTATAAGATTTCTGGACACATGTTATTTAGGAAGTGGATGCCACTCAGCAAACTATATTTTCCTATTTGCTAATTGTCTCTGAATTAGATAATTGTTGTTGTTATGTATGGAGTGGGAATATCTACTAACAGTTCCTCCAGTGAGATTTTTGAGCCTGTAATTCACATGACAGAAGACTGCCTACCTTTCTCCTGAGGAGCAGCTGGTGAGTTTGAACAATTTACCTTTGAATTAGTAGAGCAGCTCCTTACAAATAAACCATCAGATCTCCCCAATAATACATTTAATATCTTTAAAGTACTTTGTAGAAGATGTAGTAATGTTGTCCATGTGGTCATTTTTTATACTAATCTTAAAGCAGACCCAAGGGTATGATACTGAATAATTACAACCCCTTCTCAAGAAGGATTAGGCACAATTGGCATACAGAGACTTTACAAAATCTCACCAATACTTTAAATGCTTCAAACATTGATTTTTATTTACCATATTATACTTACTTCTTTCACATTTGTTGTAGTATATTCTAAATATGCCACTTGATATTTAAGTTGAAATGGTACTGATGTTGGGCTAGCCCAAGAAATGTTTAAGTTACCACTGTCTGTGATTTCCATATGTACATCTGAAGGTGGATCAGGCTTAACTTGAGAGAGGGGAAAAAAAGAATATTTTTAAATCAAACAACTCTCCTTATAATCAGGAGTAAAATGGTGTCACAATTAATTTTCAATACATCCTCTCTTTACAACTATGAATTTTAAAGAATGCAAGATATTCATCAATATTAGTTCTAAATGATAAGAATCGTTGAATTCATTTAGTCTTTGTGATTATCTATTTATAAGGTTATTACAGTTAACAGGAATTTTATATATATTACACAGGAGAAGATTTCCCATCCTTCTCTAGATAAAATGAACTGACATGGTAACCGGAGCAATAGGATTAGGTATGTCATAGTCAGGGAGATTGGATTAAAATAGAGCAGATTTCAGAGCTACTGTGCAGAGGGTTGCTATGAATCATGGACAACTTGATGGCACATAACAACAGATTTCAGTGACCATAAACACAACAGACAGCAAACAAAAATCACAAAACTATAAACTATGATACATTTTACTGAATATAAATATGCCTTAATTGTAGAAACCTAAAAATATTTTTTTTCCTTTGGACTCTTTGTGTTCCAAGACCCAGATAAACTCCATTTGATAGTGCTACTTTTAAGAGCCCCTTGAGTGAAATATCTCAGTCACAAAAGGACAAATACTGCAAAGTATTACTCTTGTAAAGTGGGACTGACATTGGAGTTTGGAGGAAACTAAGAGGGAATAAATAATATACACTGCATTGAAACAGATGAGGGAGAGATCTCTTTAGGAGAAATACATGATTAGGTATTATTGTCATGACAAGAGTCAAGAATGAAAGCTGCATATACTGGAGTGGACTAGGGGGTGGGGCACGGTGGGCAGGCAGTAAAGTGTACAATAACGAGTGAATGGAAATCTAAAGTCTGTAAACTTTTATTAAAATAAATAAAAATTTTTAAAAAGAGTTACATTGAAATAAGGTAGCTATGACGGTATGTATAGTCTACAGGGGTTTGCGCTGTTAATCCAAAGGCCACATATCTCTAACAGTTTTAACCCACCATGGTTTCCAGGCAAGAAGGATAGCCATCACCTTTTGTGTAATTTACAATCTCAGAAACCCAAAGGAAGGTCAGCTATAAATTAGTTCTGACTTGATGTCAATGAATTGAGTTGTTAAAGAGTTGCAGTGAAATAAGCCAACCTTCCAATATTTGCTGTGATCTTCTTGTTGTGAACCATCAAGTCAGAACCCAGCAATAGTTGACCTGCCAGCAGGTTTTCAGAAGCAGCTAATCTCAAAGAAGGAAATTGTCCATCTTTTTTGTGTGGAGTAGCTGGTGGATTTGAACAGTGTACCTTTGGAATTATGGCAAAGCTTCTTACCACTAGGCCACCAGAGCTCCTTCTGATCTTACCTCTGCACAAATGTACAGAGAACAGAAATCTTACTTTAGTGTATATAAACTACACATAACCTGTATTCTATTAAAGACCTTTTCTAAGTGAAAATTTTTTAAAAAGAGCACAATTTCTCAGAAGAGCCAGCATCACTCATTCTCAAGAATCTCCTTCCCTATTCCTAGAAGTAAACAACTGAAACAGAATTTATCAAGTCTTCCTTCCTCTCTCAAACCACAGAAAATTATTCCACAAAAGTCATAAAAATACCTTTTTTTAAAAACAAAAAATTCTTTTATATTGGTTTGTACACAAAATTTGTATACATTGTAGTTCACACTTTTTTAATTTACATTGTGTTTCATATAATCATTCCTATACATTATGTTTTATAAACTTAATCTCCACTGAATTATGCCTACCATTACTCAGTCAATTTTTTTTTCCCAACAACAATGGAAGTGCACAGACCATTAAAAGGACAAAGGATAATTTTTGTCATGACACTTAGTTCATCATTTAAAAAAAATACTAAGCTGTTGGTTTGTTATTCTTTCTGTTGACAAAGACATGGAAGAACAAGATGTATTCACTTAGCAGTTGGTCAAGGCCCACCTCTTCTATATCTAGATGACTCCCTTGATGCAAAGGATCATGGGAGAGAGTTTTTGTGTTTCAGGAAACTAGATTTGCAACGGACCCGACAGTAACCATGCCTCTGGGCTGTTTCAAACATTCTTCTAGGTGGTATAGCACTGGTCTGTGCGTTGCTGTACAGAGGTAACTCGTGGTTGCTGTGATGCTGAAGACTGTGACAGTGATGTGCCAATCGTGGTAATGGGCACCCATGGTGGACAGTGTTTTCTGGAGCTTCCCAACTAAATCAAGCCTGGAAGCAGGAGCGGCATCCACTTCAGAAATGGCTTGCCTCCGGAAACTCTATGTGCGAACAGTGCTCAGGCTGTTTGTTTATAGGGTCGCTATGAGTCGTCTACGACTTGAGGGCATTAAACAACAACAACAATAACGTGAGCCCTCAGATTCTAATAACTTCTCATCTTTCTCTATTCTTTGACTTGTTCATGAAATTCTGTTCAATGTCTTCAATATGCCAAGTCCTCTTCTTGTCCCATGTCTTTTTCACAAGAGATGTACTCTTTTGATAGTACTTTTTTACATTCTTTCTATGGGTTATTCCTCCATTTGGACCTTAGGTTAATTGTTGTTGCCGTCGTTAGGTTCCATCAAGGCAAGTGCAAGTCATAATGACCCTATGAACAACAGCTCTAAATGCTGCCCTACTCTGTGCCATGCTCACAATCTATGACACACTTAAGCTCATTGCTGTCATCACTGTATCAATCTACCTAGCTGAGGGAAAGTACCCTTTGCCAAATCCAGTGTCAACCAACTGATCCATTTTACTCCACGTCCTGAGAGCATTCCATAGAGATGCTTACTCTCTCTTTCTGAAATAATTTTTTTTTGCTTGAGTTTCAAGATATTAAAGCCCTTCTATTCCTCCCTTCTTACCTTTCATTGTTATGCATCCTCTTTTTGAACTCTAAGCAGTCGAGCTTACTCCTAAACATTTATATGTTTGCACAATTTGAAATATTTCTCTTTCCTACACTCTAGGCCAACATACCCAACTACTTCTTCAATCTCTCTTGTGATTCTATTAGGCTTTAAAAACTTAGTGTGCAACATTCATAACATTGGTCAACATCTATGTGCCAAATGAGAGACCTGCTAAATATATAAAACAACTATTTAAAAAATTGAAGAAAAAAATGGACAACACCATAATAGTGGTGGAAGACTGTAACACATCACTCTCACCAAAAGATAGGTCAACTAAAAAAAAAAAAAGTAACAAGAATTCAGAAGATCTAAATTACACATTCTGTAACTTGACCTGGTGGATGTATTCAGGGTACTGCACCCAACTAAAACTCCATTCACTTTCTTCTCAAGTGCACATGACACATTTTTCAGAATTGATCACATATTAGGGCACAAAGCAAAGTTCAACATACTAAAAAAACATTGAAGTTATACAAAATTATCTTCTCAGACCACAATGCCAAAAAACTAGAAATAACAAGAGGATAAAGCTTATAAAACCACCAATATGGAAATTAAATAACACCCTGCTAAGGCAGTCCTCAGGGGCCAGCAAATGCATAAAAAAATGAAGAAAGATGCAAAGTTAATGATCTATCGCAACATCTTCATCAACTAGAAAAAAAGAACAACAATCTAATCCCACAGCTTTGAGAAGAAAGGAAATTATAAGAACAATAGCTGAAAACAACAAGAAAGAATATTGAAAAAACAGTTGAAACTATCAACAAAACCAGGAGCTGGTTTTATGAAAAGGTCAACAAAATTGACAAACCAGGGACAAATTTAAAAAAAAAAAAAATAAGAAAGACATTAATAGCTTTATTAATTAATGATAGAGGTGACATCACAACAGATTCAGAGGAAAATAAAACTATAATATCAGACTATTATGGAACCCTATTGCTTTTTCCTTGCATCTTTTTTTTTAAATTTTAATGAAAATTTACAGAGACTTTGGGTTTCAATTCATTCATTGTTGCACTTTTCTCCTTGGCCACTCCTCACCCTAGTTTGCTCTTATCTTTGAAAAGAAAAAGAAAAATTCTTTTGTTGTTATACAATCCCTATCTCCAAGTCCACTACACTGCAGCTTTCATTCTGGACTCCTGTCATGACAATAAAATCTAATCATATCGCTTTTAAACAGTTCTATCCCTCATTTGTTTCAATGCAATGTACATTATTTATCCCCTCTTATCCTCCAGAGTCACCCATTTTGTATATTTTATGAGTTCTTTGTTTTTCAATGCAGCATAGTATTGTGAATATACCACAGTTTCTCTATCCATTCATTTGTTAATGGGCACTTGCATTGTTCCCAACTCTTCACAATTGCAAACAAAGCAGAAATAAATATGGGTATGCATATATTGTTTGGGTAACAGTTATGGTTTCTACAGAGCATATTCCCACTAGTGGAACTGCTGGGTCAAATGGTATTTCTATTTGCAACTTTTTGAGAAAGCACCATACAGCCTTCCATAGTGGTTGCAGCATATTACACTCCCACCAACAGTGAATAAGGGTTACATTTTCTCCACAATCTCATGAGCATTTGATGTTTGCTGGTCTGTTAAATTTTGCGAATCTTCCTGGAGTGAAATAATATCTTATAGTTGTTTTGATTTGCATCACTTTAGTTATTGCTGTTGTTGTTATGTGCCATCAAGTCACTTGCGATTCACAGGGACCCTATGTACAACAGCCCTAAACTCTGCTCTGTCCTGTGCCAATAGCACTGTCTCTGACACTTCCATCCTGATTACCCCAGCCACTGGATCAATCCACCTCATAAAGGACCTTCCCCCTCTTGCGCTGTCCTTCCACACTCCCAAGCATGATGGCCTTCTCCAAGAATCAATCTCTCCTTACAACATGACAAAAGTATCTCAGACGAAGCCTCAGAATCCTTCAAGGAGCAGCCCAATTTAAGGAGATTATGTTTTCCAACAGGTTGAAGAATGGAATTAGTATTTGTATTAAGATTGCATTGTATGTATCTTCTCAGACCACAATGCTACAAAATTAGAAATTAATAACGATTATAAAGGGGGAACTACCATACATTTGGAAGTTGAACAGCACCTTACTTGAACATGAGTAGGCTCTAGAAGAAACAAAAATGGAAAAAGTTTCTTGAAACAAATGACAATGAAAACACAATGTACCAAAACCTCTGGGAAACAGCCAAAGCAGTAAACTGAGGACAATTTATAGAATAAACACACACATCAAAAGGCAGGAAAAAATGATCATTGACTCTCTAACTCAATACCTCCAACAAATTGAAAAAGGAAAGCAAGAAAAACCGACACCCTCTAAAAACCCTAAAATTATTTGAAAAGGGCAGAAATAAATTAAATAGGAAACAGAAAAAATAATCAATACCATCAACAAAACTAGGAGTTGGTTCTTTGAACAGGTCAATAAAATTAAAAAACCACTAGCAAAATTAACAATAGAAAAGACACAAATAATCCAAATAAAAGATGAAATGGGCAACTTTGAAACAGAACCAACTAAAATAAAAAGGCTAGCAATAGAATATTATGAAAAACTATACTCAAGAAAATATTAAAAACCTAGAGAAAATGGACAAATGCTTAGAAAATCACAACTACATAAACTTACACAAACTGAAAAGACCCATTACAAAAGAAGAAACTGAAAAAGTAATAAAACAACTTCAAAAAAATTCCTGGACCAGATGGTGTTACAATGATTTTGCTCAAACATTCAGAGAACAACTGTCACCAATTCTCTACATTCTACATTCTACATAAAATAGTTCAGAAAATATAAAAGATAGAATTCGACCCACACACATTCTATGAAATAAACATATCTTTGGTACCAAAGTCAGGTAAAGACACCACCAAAAAAAAATCTAAAAACCACCCCCAAACTATAGGAAAATACCTCTCATGAACATAGATGGAAAACTCCTGAATAAAATCCTTGCCAACACAATTCAATGGTACATAAGAAAAAAAAAAATCACCATGTCCAAGTGGGATTCATAATAGGTATCCAAGGATGGTTGAACAAAAGAAAAACAATCAAGTGATATGTCACAAGAAAAACAATCAAGTGATATATCACATTAACAAAGCAAAGATTATATCAATTGATACAGAAAAGACCTTTGACAAAATGCAACCCCCTTTTCTGATTGAAACATTCAACAAAATAGAACTAGAGGGGAACTTCCTCAACATGGTAAAAGTATATACATAAACCTGAGAGCCAACATTGTTCTGAATGGAGAGAGATTAAAGGCATTCCAATTGAGAAGAGGAACTAGGAAGGATGCCCACTATCACCTCTCCTATTCAATATTGTATTGGAAATCTTAGTGATTGCAATAAGACAAGAGAAGGAAATAAGTGGTATCCAATTTGGTAAAGAGGAGATAAAATTATCTCTATATGTAGATGACATGGTAATATACTTAGAAAACCCTAAAGACTCAGCAAGAAAACTACTGGACATAGTTTACCAATTCAGCAAAGTGGCAGGATATAAGACCAACATACAAAAATCAATTTAATTACTCGATTTTGATACATTTTAAAACTTAAAGGAAATGGACAATCTTCTTGAAACTGATACCCTTCCCAGAGTGACACAGTCAGAAGTAGAACACTTAAATAGACCCATCACAAAAGGAGAAATTGAACAGGTTATAAAAAAGTCTCTCCAGTAAAAAAAAGTCCTTGACCAGATGGTTTCAGGCTGAATTCTACCAAACATTCAGAGAAGATCTATCATCAATTCTACTTAAAGTATTTTAAAAAATGGAAAAAGAAGGAACACTCCCAGAGACATTCTATCAACTAAGCATAATCCTAATACAGAAAGCAGACAAAGACATTACCAAAAACGAAAAATACAGACCAGTATCTCATGAACAAAATCCTACCCAATACAATCCAAAAGCATATTAAAAAAATATTCATCATTTCCACTTGGGATGTTGCAACATAAGAAAAACAATTTATATAATTTACTGTATTAACAAAACAAATAAAAAGAACCATATGGTCTTAGTAATTGATATAGAAAAGGCATTTTATAAAACTTAGTACACTTTCCTGATTAATACACTCAGCAAAATGTGAATAGAAGGAAATTTCCTCAACATAGTGAAAAGTATATAAAGCAAAATCAAGAGGCAAGTTCATTCTCAATGGAGGTAGAATAAAAGCATTTTCCTTGTGAACAGGGAGCCTACTGTCACCATTTCTATTCAATATTGTATTGGCAGTACATGGTAGGATAATACAAAATGAGAATGAAGCAACAGGCATCCAGATACCAAAGAGATAATTAAACTGTCTCAATATGCATATAATAATGATAGTATACACAGAATATTCCAGGGACTTAACAAAAAAGTGTTAGAGCTAGAAGGCCAGTTTAATAAGATGGCAGGATATAAGATCAATATCCAAAAATCAGTGGAATTCCTCCACAGTAACAAAGAGAACTAGGAGAAGGAAACCAAGAAAGCAATACCATTTACAATAGGCAACCACAAATTGAGATACTTGAGAGTGAACCAAACGAGACATACAAGACCTGTACAAAAAAAAAAGAAAGCAAAATATTTCTGCAAGACACAATATAAAAACTAAATAAATGGACAAATGTGTCCTGTTAAAGAATAAGAAAATTCAATATTGTAAAAACGACTATGTTACCAAAAGCAAGCTACATGTTGAACACAATCCCAATCCAAATACCAAATTCATTTTTCAGGCAGAGCAAAAGGGAAATACTTAACTTTATTTGGAGAGGAAAAAGACCTCAAATAAGCAAAGCACTTCTGAAGAACAAAAAGAAAGTGGGAAGCACAGCATGAAGTGGGAGGCACAGCACTCCCTGACCTCAAAACACTACACAATGATAATGACCAAACAAGCATGATACTGGTACAATGATAGGCACAAAGAAGAATTGAGAACCCAGAAATGGACCCATCTAAATCTGGTCAACTGATATTTGACAAGTAAATAAAACCTATCAAATGGGGAAATGGCAACCTCTTCAACAGGTGGTACTGGCAAAACTGGACTGCTGCTACATGCAGAAAGCTGAAACAGGATCCCTATCTCACACTATGCACAAAAATCAACTCAGGGTGGATCAGAGACCTGAAAGTGAAGCCCAAACACCATAAAGTTAATGAGACACAAATTGAAATGATATAAAGAGATTGCCA